TGTGAGTGTGAATGGGTGAATGTCTGTTAGTGTAAAGCGCTTTGGGGTCCGGAGGGACTTGAAAAGCGCTCTATAAGTTCAGTACCATTTACCATTTTACACCTCTGATACAGTATGTGGCCATCTACACCAAATTTAGAAGAAAAATGCTTTGATACTGCAGGAAATGATGTTTAAGGTGAATTAAGCTTCTCCCACATCTCTCATACACAAGTTTATGAGGAAAACCTTTACCAAGGTATTTCTCATTATTTGTTAATATCTTGAGTGTGAAAATCGACACAATAAGTGGAACGCTCAGACGAGTTCAATTTGTTAATAATGACTATACAATCATTTATTTACACAAATTAAACAAATCATAAGTTACACTTGATTGTGGTTATTCCTATAACAAGCGTCAGAGTTAATAGGATAAAACTCGCGTCAGTCTTTCAATCCACATCAACTCAGATTACTTATATAGAACAGTAAAAACATCAGTCCTGATGTTACACAACCAAACAATTTTACTGGCACTTTTAGCTTAAGTTTTGGCAAATCAAAGAAATAAGAAAAAGGAGAAAAGTAATGTTAGTGTTTCTACTACTTTACTTTTATCAAAGTGTGGGTCAACCTGAACTGCACGTCTTTTCTCGACTCAGGTCCACAATACACGTCACTCCAAACACATCAGCTTTTACCTGATGATGGCTTCTTAAGACACCCTCAAAGTAGAAAATCTGGCTCGCCTCCGATCAGTCAGTGAACTGATGTTGGCTCGCTTACCGGTCATTGGCGAACAGGTGTTATTTTCAGGTAATTCTGTGTTTGCTTCAGTCCAAGCCAGAAAAATTCAAGCCGTATCCGGTTCCTCCTTCAAAATAAAACATCTCCCCTTTGGGAGATATAAAACATACTTAGAGGCTTGGAGCCTCGAGTTGGAACCACCGACAGGCGTGCCGGGTCCCTGGTTGTGAAATCCTCCCTAATTAGCTCATGGGATTAGATTTTCAGCCAAAGCTGAGGTTTCTCCAGAGAGAATCACAGCTGTCTTCCTAGGTTGGAATCAGGAAGAACTGTGTGTTGCTCAAAGCCGTCCAGGTTAGTAATAAGAACGAATGACTTTGGTTCCGCCCTCAGGCTTAGAGATGAGTCAGAGAAGAAAGATAGAGACTTGCCAGTCAGGCGCCAGTCCAGGTTAAATTCTGTGGTTGTACAACAACATCATGATAACCTCTTTAGCTTCTTTCTGATAGACTCTAAAAGAAATCACTGCAAAACATTTATGATGATTAATTAACATTTCTGTTTTATAATTAGTTCTGAACCATTCTTTTAGTCCAGATAAATGAAAGATATTCTCAAGAAAAAATCCACAATTATATTACT